ACTCGTTGTTTGAGACAACGAGAATAAGAAACGCTCCTACGATTAAATCTCCCTTATTCAATTAATTTGAGTAGGGGAGAGAAAAAGAGAGTCCAAAAATTATTTTGTGTGTCAAACAATACACGAAAAAATATTTAAAGTATATTTTCTCACCAAAGAAAATTGTGTAACTTTAAGAAAATGTTTAAAGAAATTTTGACACACTTATTTTGAGATTGACTCACTAAAATATTTTAAACAGAGAAAAAATGATTTTTCAACTGACTCGAAAATAATTTTTTTTTATCCCTCATAAATTCAATTGTTTTGTGCAGAAGATATTGTCATCCTTACAAAAATCCTAGACTCAATAAAAATTAAAAAGTCTTCGGAGTCTTCACATCACTTAAAAAAAAATCTGCGTAGGGGTGATCGTCAAATTTCATCGCCGTAAACTTCTTGATACGCCTCTTTTCTTTTCTCGGTACGAAAAGTAAATTTTCGATCCTCGTTTGAATTTCATCATCCTGTTTGTCATTTATCAAAACAAAAAATATTCCAGAGAAAATAATAAAGGGGTTTGAACTCATGTCCAACACAAAACAAATAGAAAAGGAAATGGAAAAAGTTTTTTTTTGGGGGGGGCAAACTCACCAAAAGCATTCACACGCATCTCAAACGATTTAAAAAGAATGACACCCAAATTTGGATCTGAATCAATAAAGTAGGGAGGAGTAATATTAACCAATTGATTTGAGAATAACCAAACAATTGTTCATGGGCAGTATTGCTTTACCAAGCAGCCAATGGTAAAACTATTCATTTATTATTTCCTAAGGTTGTAGTAATAAAAGAAAATTGAGCAAAGAGGTACTCGTACTATATAAAGTAGGAAGGGGCCTTATATTTCCATAGCAAATGAAGGTAGTAATTGATACAGATGCCTTAGTGGGCAGCATTTATTACCAAAGGATAAGGAAAGCACTTAGAGCATCTCCAACCTTGTATATCATATTGGCTTGCTATTTTTATATTTTAACAAGTGAATAATGACATAGCAAGTGATATTTTGTTGCATTCCCCAACCATGGCTTGCTAATCCATTCTATAACTCTTGGCTTTCTATAATTTGAAGAGCTTGTTATTTGTAACAAGCCAAAGTCATTTTTTGGCAAGCTTGTTAAAACTAAACACACCCATTGGAGAAGAAAAAAATAGGTTGACTTGCTATATTATGACTTTTAGCAAGCCAAAGTAGGATGATTGGAGATGCTCTTACTAGGTGATTTTTTTTCTTCTTTCCCTTCCCTGTTGTTTAATATTCTTCACCAAGTACCTCTTTTAATTTACAGCTAAAAATATTTACATTTGCAGCTCAATAGTTGTTCAAATTTGCATTCAATTCCTTTGGAATTGCTTCCAAATTTGATGTATAGTCGTGCCATGCCATGTGTGGCACCTCGTTGCCTATGTTAATTGAAAGTTCTATCTTTAAGAAGTTTGGGTAAATCTAATTTCATACAAATTGGGTCATTATGGACAATGTTTCTCAAGGATGTCAAGGATGAGTTGCTGGGTTGTTACATATCCCATTATAGTTAGTGTCCCAAGATATCATATTCAAAACATAGCTCACGAAGTCTAGAAACTATTCATGTTCATGGGTACCATCTCCATTGCCATCACGACCTCTGCGCATGGAGCTCGCAAACCTCTGCGCATGGGGCAGCATGTAATCAAAGATGTGGCTAAGTTCTGTCAACTCATCATGGATTCATAGATTCAGTTAATATGTTGTCATAAATGATATTCTACTAAATGTTTATTTAGTTAATTAGAATTATTGTGTTGGAAGGAATGAGTACCAGATCTAGGATCCCACTCCTCATTATCAAGTGAGGTGACACATATAAACCCAGAGCTGCAAAAAAAGAAAATAGATAGATACCTTTTAGAGCTCAAAAACATAGTAGATGGAATTCTCAATTAAGAAGGGGGAGAAAACAGTAGAAAGGCACAAAAAATCCCATTGCCCATTCATAAACAGTACTCACTCATAATCAATATTCGGGTGCAGAATTTTTGTCTGAAAGTAGACGATGAGTGGCTTGGTAGGATATCCATCTTCCAACTCTACCATTACCTGAAACTCATATCCTTGATATAAACCTGTTTTATAAATCAAAACGAAGAATTATATTGATAAAAGAACAAATCAATAAAGTTCACCTAGACGGCCCGAGAAGCTGCCAGAGCAATTACTTCTATTTTCTTAAACTATATAATTGTAAAAAAGTCATACTTCCATTCGGAGCACGGTACTTCACAGTGAACATGGTTACATCTTCGTTGATGAAACCAACGTCGTAATCACCCTTTCTTTTCCTGAAAACACATACATATACCAGCTCAATATTATGTAGGCAAAAATAATCAAATCTTGGATAGCCTTTTCTGATATTTTGATACGGGGGTTGTTTCTGACCAGACCACCCCAACAGACCACTCGGCTCCACGACGTGTTCGCCCGAAGCGGTCCGTTCAAGCCCCGAAACGTTATGCAGATTATATTTAATTCTTTTCTGTTTTAATTTATTGTAATTTAGATTTTGTTAGGTGAGCAAAATATAAGCTCCTTCGAGGGTTTCTTTTCGGTTCTTTACCTCGTCGCTTTTCTTTGAACCGACAGGATAGATAACTTAGTTCAACTAGGATTGGGAGAAACCAACTATTATTTAAAGGATGTTAGGTCCTTTCAGCAACACAAGCAATAAGAATTACTCTTTCTCCCAAATTCTCCTTCTCTCTCTCGTTTTTTCCTCCCTCCTAAAACCCTAGCTGCGCACAGCCTTTGTGCCACAGCCTTCCCCTTCCCTTTGCAGGTATCAAATTGGTGCTCTCATTCTCGATCTCATGGCTTCATCCGACGTTCCAACCTCTGCGTTGACGCTTGACGATATTATGCATGCCATCACCGACATCCGGAAAGACTTGCATGCCACAAAAGCCCGGGTGACAGAACTTGCCACTGCCAAAGTCGACGAGACGGCTGATCC